CGTCCGATCATTTGACTGAACAACCTGAAATAAGTTCACGAGATCTGAAATACAAGTATTTAACTACATTGGTTTCCTATCGCCAATCTCCCTACAACGAAGGCCCTAATGTTAATCAGTTGGAACCTCTTCAACGATACTCTTTTGGCTATTCTTACAAATAATCCAAATCTAACACCTGTGTTCACTGATTAAATATTAAATGTCTACGCTTCAGCAGACCGGCGACTATCAAAACTCTCGCCAAAATATTGAAGATTAATCGTTTTTCCCTGAGTTTGGGACGTTTCGTGATAACACCCATCTCAACGATGTTTTGTCGGCTATACAGTAGAATGTAAAGATCAGTTTCTTGCGTCCAGGTCATAATCGAATATATTTGGTCCTTATAGTTACACTAAGACATTTCCTCTAATTGGGAACTAAATATATTTTGGGTGATAGTGAACAACATTAGAATCAAGGATGTAGGTTTCATCTCATTTGCGACTCATCAACTCGATCTACCTGCAATCACCAGCGGGACTCGAATGCAGCAAATGTCGTCTCGAACGCCACGACATCCAACTCTTGTTCAACGGGTTATAGTTAATATCTGATTTTAGGTGAATTTTGAATTTCCAGCTGATTGATAATATTGAACCGAATTATCTCATCTCTATTGACATGTAGGGTTCTAGTACGGAAGCAGGTTTCAATCGTTAGTGGAAATGCAAAAATATCCAGCTGTTGGGTCCCAAACAGGATGGCATGCGCATCTTGCATTCCACTGGTATTCACCAGTGACAATAATAACTTCACGTTAATCCTCAGACATCGTCGAAGCATCTGTACGAGAAGCTGATATGTCAACAGAGACCAAGCATTCCGGTCAGACATAATCAGTCAAAGGGAAATGCAAACAGAAACTAAGATTGAGGCTTACATAGCACATTCGCTAAGATGACAATAATTATTTTGGTAAGTGTTAACTGAACAGTTTTTGATATAGTTCTGACGAGAAGACGTCATTCGAATGAAAAACTGATAAAAAAGTATCTAGATTATGGAATTTAAGAGGATTTGGTTTAATTTAATATCAATTGTTAGATTTCGTCAAAAACCAGCATCATTTAGAGAGATCCTAGTAAACGAGAAAGCATTGGACAGGTGTTTCAGGACTTTTCAGCACTGCTCACCCACAAGCCTACCAGGGATCAGACCTATGACCTTTAAGTTACGAAACCAAGCTCGCTGACCATTCAGCCACTTGGGATGGGATTCAGCGACCCATGAATTGTAACTTTACCAATTCATGATTTAGCGCAACCTTCATCAGTGTCTTCGATGAGCTTCCTCTTTACCATGATATGGTGGACCCCAATGGTCATCGCTTCCCATTACAGCTTCCGGACATTCATCTAGCAGCCATCAACAAGCTGGAGATTCATATTTAGAGTAGGTGAAGGAGTATAAAATAATAATTCCCTATGTGATACATGTTTTTAACAAAGCAAAGATATGATGTAGTCTTTTAGTCTTTCTCTTGGTAATTCCTAAAGATGATACAGTGTTATCAACTTAGGGTGTTTGAATCAAATAAGTATTATCATTATTACTGTTCCCTTTGGTTCCGACTGGCTTCACCAGCACATCTCCACTTTATCTTATACTCTGCGGTTCTCTTTAGCCGGTCCAAAGATTGACCGTGGGCTCTCAACTTCACCTCTCTCGATCTCCTTTATATCATCCACGGACTCCCCTCTCGTTGTTTGTCATTCGGGTCCCACTAAAGGGCCTGGTGCATGATTTCATAAGATGATCTACCCAGAGTGTGTCCTATCCATCTCCACTTTCTTCTGCATATTTGTTGAGCAATAGGCTCCTGGTTGGTTGGTTTCCAGAGTTTCTTCTTGCGAATTCTTTCTGAACAGCCACCTAATCTTCAGTATGGAAACAGCGAAGGCAGCTGTCAGTAAAAGTGTGTGACCTGTTGGAAATGTTATTTTGTGACACGCCAATCAGTGTATTTCATGCAGGCCGTAAATATCAACTTTTCAAAAAGGTGGAAATGAGTGGATACGCTTCAATAGAGCTTAAATACTTCAGCTACATATTTATTCGAATGAGTATATCAAAAAAGAGGCTTCAGTCGTAAAAGAATATTTAAAAAAAGGCACACAGACGAGGAATATTACGAGCTGACTTCATTTTATAGTTCCTCTATAAACTTGCGGTACAACTAGCCCGAGTTTGTAGGAGCCATGATTTATCCCAGTCCAGCGATTGTCACGAAATGACATCAGTTAGAGAATCATAGATGATCACTGAAATTTAATCAAAACTCCTGCAAACTTAAAATATCTGAACATTAACCTCCTTCTCATTAATAGTTACAAGATTAATGTCTTGAAACTCGAATTTATGAACAAATAAAAGGAACACCAATGGGATCGCCCATTTAAGGATTAATAGCTGAAGCCGTTATGCAAAGATTAGAATTAATAGCTCTACCTATAATTAAACCGAAAATCGGGATACGTTACGTTGATGGTACATTTGTAATAATTAGGAGAAATGATTTAGAATATACTCATAAATTAATAAACAACATATTTGAAGACATTAAATTCATAAGATAAGAAGAATTAGATAACAAAATCCCATTTTTAGATGTCTTAATCAGGAGAACCAACACAGGTGATTTAGAAACACAAGTATATATAAAATCAACGCACACAGACCAAATACTCAACTATACTAGCAATAATCCAGTTACTCACAAACGAAACTGTGTGCAGACATTGTTTAAAAGGGTTCAAACACATTGTAGCACTCCAGAGTTGAAAAGAATGGAAGAAAAATACCTAAAAAAGGTCTTCAAAAAGAATGTTTATCCACAAAATCTCACCAGAAAGTGTTTAAAGTCGAATCAGAACACCAACACAGAACCATCATCAAAGACCACAAGAAAATTCATTCTACCATATATGAGAAATATCTCTGAAATAACAGCTAGAATGCTGAAACCGTTTGATATAGATATAGCACACAAACCAGTAAAATCGCTTAATTCGATATTGTGCAAACCGTAAGATGCAACAGAAAAAGGAGATAAAATTAATACCATTTACAGAATAAATTGTATGAACTGCATTACATCGGCCAAAGTGGGCGTCCCCTTTGAATTAGAATCCAAGAACACATATCAGCCGTGAAAAGACACGATATGTATTCTTTAGTATCAATGCATATAGACAATTATGGTCATCAATTTGATTGGGATAATGTCAAAATCTTAGACAGAGAAAACACCAAAGGTGCAGTCAGGGAATTCCTAGAAGCCTGGTACTCAAACGAAAATGCAATTTACAAACACGTTAATATAGATCAAATATACCAACTAATAAAAAATAAATCATGTGACCAGAAAGTTTAAAATCCAAGTCAATAGAAAGTGGTCAATACATATGTAAAGATGGTTACCAGGAGACGCAATTATATCACTCATGGAAAATTTAAATCAGTTCACTTTATGCTAAAAACTGCGCTGAAGATGTTGTTAGGAAGGACGACGAAAGCTTCGCAACTAAACCATGCAGCTCAGAGAACACTATTAATTGCAAGTAGTAGCTAGTTTTGGGTCACCATCTCAGGTTTGAGGCAAGAGCTCACCGATAATTTTGGCTGCTGGAAGGTAGAAGTCTACTGATCACTGGGTCTTAACGGGTTCTCTTCATATTCTGTAGGCTATGGGTTTTATCCCTAATGATGTGGGTTGTAAGGTAGTGAGTGCCGAATTACCCCGAAACAACTGTCCAACAAGTACTCTTTGGTTTAGTGACAGTTCTCTACATTGGAAGGGAAGGAAATGATAACCAATCCTCAAAATTTAACTTCATAATTAATAATATTTTCAATAATTCCAGAAAATACTATAAATTAAAGTTATAAAGATAAATTAGATGTCAGATGAGTAGAAAAATAAGGCCAATTAAATAAGATGAGTTAGGAAAGCTGCTTTAACATACATCTAATATATATTTTGATGTATGTGTGTGTGTGTATGCGTATGCGTGAACTGTTATTGTTCCTTCTAAAACTACATACATCTATCTATATGCATAAATATACTAGTTGTATGTCCACAAGAACAGTTTCTAAATAAGCAGTAGAACATTGCAGAGGCCCAATAATCATTAATCATAAAAGCCTATAGAAATGTCCCTCTACCATTAAGTTTATCTAGGCATCCACCCCCCAACCCCATTCACGTTGTCTTAAGAAATATGTTTATTCTCAGGTGAATGATCTCAAATCATCAGAAGAAGAACTAGCGTAAACTACTCTTAACTGTTTTCTAAGTCAGTTAGCAGAATGCAAACAAGCTGGTTATAGAAGTTTACAGCGTCACTACATCTTCACTGGAAAACTTTATTTTCTTAGCGAACGAAATAAAGGAATCACAGGGAATCACGTCTGCAGCTGAATTCATTCAGCATTCTTCCTTCATTATCTAACAATCTAGAAATGTTCTAAAATACCGATTAACTTTATAAGAAGAAGAAGAAAAATTACAGTGACAAAAAGAGTATTTCATTACAATGATATTTTCACAATCCTTCTCTCGTGAAACGCCAACGGCTACATCAACACCAACACCACCACCGCCGCCGTTCCTGCCGCCACCACCACCATCACTAAAATTACCTCCCAATCATTTTCAGTATGACTCACTTCAGTATCATGAAAACAATTATCCAAGCACACAGAAATTAATTCCAGGAAGTGAAATGACTACATCCTTTCAAAAGCCTCCTATTGCTACCAGCAGTGTATTATCCTATAGACAAGATCAAGTGTTACCACCATCAACTGCACCAAGAAATGAGCGCAGTAATTTAATACAAGTAAACGATTTGCAAATTCATAATTTTACAAACACTAAAAATATATTACCGCCTGTAATTAATCTACTAACTCCATGCAGACTACAAAATAAACTGATAGACACGAAAGACTCTGAAGTTTCTTGTACTGCTTCGTCGGCGTCTTCTTCTTCTGCTGCTATTGTTTGTTCAGATCCTCCACTATACAATTTTTCAAGAGCAGAGCCTGTTAAATCAAACTTTCCTGTACAAGATATGAGAAATTATATTGGTAATCCCAGTAAGCAACAATCATCACAAACAGAATACAAAGGCTACAATGGTAGTCGACATCATGAAAATTCAGAAATGTATTCATGCAAACAATTAGTAAGTTGACAAATAAGCATTTCCAAGATAAACATAAAGTTGTTGTTGAGTTATAAATTGAAATGCATAGGTGAGAACATTTCAGTCTAGAGGATAAACGATGATGTACTTAATCACTTTGAGCACTGAACAGTGTAGATTGAATCCTTTGTAGGATCTTTGATGCGTATAGTCTCTTGGTCATCCTTTATTTGATGTCTATTTGTGAAGACATATTCCATGAGTAGTAAATTAGTTATTTGAGGGAAAAGATGGCGTTTAATGTTTTTTGTACACTGTTTAGGCATCTTGTTTTGTACCTCAGTTGCACGGAAATTTATCAGAAGAAATAAGAAAGAATCCTGTTTAACAACCAAACATATTTTATACTCAAAATGTATTTTGACTTATTTGTTATTTCATGATTTCATTATGAACTGACATTGGTTAGAGGACCAGGGAGTACTGGACAGCCAGCTGTTTCGTCCTAGTTAGAGACTCTTCATCGGTGTGCATCCACCGCCAGGCTTCGAACCCAGGACCTTCTGGTCACAAGACAAGCTCGTAAACCACTAAACCACTGAGACCTGGTCCAATGGCCAGTACGTGAATTCCAATTTCTGCCAACTCACGCTATGGCGCGACCACTAGCGAATGTCTGCTGAGAGTATTTGTCCACACACCTGACTTGCTGTACCCCACTTGCCACGACTTCCCACTAGAACCAAATAACTACCTACCTCAATAGAGCCAGTTATTAGTGAACATCAGATTGATATTCAAGTGTTGGTTTGCAGGAATTTGATTGGTTTCAGGATTTTATCATTATTTCCATATCAATATTATTTGTTCGTTTCTTTCTGAGTGGAAGATTCAGCTTTAGAGGCATATCTGTATTCCATTCAGTCTTCTGGGATCACTTTCAGCCAGCTCCACGACTGCCCACCAGTTTTCATTTCTTCATCACATAATCCCCACCATGTTATCCTGAAAACCATGCCCAACTCAGAGGCTTGTCTAGCGTGTCATATCACTTGAATGTTTCCTCAGAATATTTCCAATACATCTCCAATCGTCTGCATATCTAGCTGGTTCACTGCTAAAGGTCCTTGTGGTTTGTGATTTCTAGCCATCAGTTTGATCTTTTTATTCAGGTGAAGGCAACTATTGATAAAAGTCTGGTGAGAACAGTTAGAAATGATTTCGGTGGCATGAGTGCCAAGTGTGTACTACTGTTTTATATTAAGTAGGCTTTGCATCACTCTTTCTTATGAACCTAGATCAGTTGGAGAACAACTGAAACCAAGGAGCACTAGACAGCTATTTCGTCCTAGTTTGGAACTCTCCAACAGTAATCAATCACGAACCGCAAGAACTCAGTAGCCTCGTAAACAATACGAGGCAAGTATATTCACCAGCCGGTCGCTTGAAAAGAATCCAATGGCCCATAAATTTCAATTCAGTACAAAAAATTCCTCCCAAATTTCAAAAGACATTAATTTTTATGTCTAAATCTAAATCTTAGATACATTAATCCCAGTAGTCATAGATCTACTTTATGGATCTTGAAGAAACCAGCAAAAATCACTTAAATAACATCAAGCTGAATGAATAGTAATAGAAAGTACAAGAAATAATCACTAGTGAGTCGCATTTTAGATTTCTGAAAGACTATTGTAAAAGGCCTTCGACAGACAGTGTTGATAGAGAAGTAATTTGGAAACTACTACAACACTACGGCTTGCAGTGATCAAGTCTTTACCAACCCCATTCAACAGCTGACTATATGACAATGACACGTGTCAGGTGATCCACAACGGAAAACTCAGAGAGACGTTCGAAGTGAACACAGGTGTAAGAGAAGGCTTCTTGTCTGCTATCACTGATGATATTCTTAATTGTGGTGGACTGGATTATGCGGAAGACTGTGCGTTAGGAGTGAGAAGACAGGAATACGCTGCACTAACTTCAGTAGGTCTGAACTTTGCACGTGTATTATATATGTTTAATGTCACAGAAACTGGAAGATTTGCAGGCGAAAACCATTAAACTGGCTGAAGAGTTAGGCAGTTAAGACAAGACTACAGGTGAACATAAAGATGGAGGTGATGAAGGTAACCAACCGACGACAACAACAACGACCAGCACCAATCTCCATTAAAGGGAGAGTTTTGAGAGGGGTTACTTCCTTCGCTTATCTAATCGGGAAGCACGGTTTGAGTCACAGGCAGTTGGAACCGATGAAGACGTCAAAGCTAGTCAGAATCGAAAAGGCAAGATGCGACTTCATTAACCTGAAACCGGCTAGGAAATCTTCTGCACTGCACTTAGCGAGCATAGAGAACAAGATTCGGATTTTCAACACAAATGTGAAGTCAGTCAATGAGTTCTTCTATATGGGTCAGAAACTTGCACTGCGTGTCACGGAAGGTATTTTCAACAGGTGGCTGCAGACTTTTATTAACAGCTGCCTTGTCTGGCTCCATACTGAAGATCAAATGGCCGGCCTGCCGGCCAGAAAGAATTAGCAACAAGAAAATATGGGTGGGAACAAACCAACCAAGAGCCGATTGCACAACAAATATGTAGGGGAAAATGTAGATGGATTGGGCTTACATTGAGGAGATCATCGAATGATATCGCACGCAATGGAGGCCATCGCTCAAGTGGAATTCCAGTAGGAAGCGACGAATGGGTCGTCGGTGCAAGGGCGACATAGAGGAGATCGTTTGAGGATGAGGAGATGAGAGATTATAGGCAATCGTGAGCCCGGCTAAAGAGGAGAGTAGATAATAGAAGAACGTTGAGATGTGTTGCTGAAGCCCTTTTTTCCGCTTGGAACCCTAGGGAATAATAAATAATAATAAAGCAACTGTAAAACGAGACGTAATCCGATTCCCACATATTTCCCTACAGCTCATATGAACGGTTGATTCAATGAATGGAAACTCGGCAGTCGATATCCTTTTGGATCTGAATATCTGAAGTTTCAGGATTGTGATGCTGTCGGATCACTTTGATTGACGATGTAGTATTGTTTAGTAGTCTGTTAAGTTATATCTAAATCAAATTCTCAGTTCGCGAATTAATCTGCAATTTATACATTTCAAGGTGAAATTTCCCTACAGTTTCCTTTAGAAATCGAAACTTCCTCAGATCACAATATGTAATCTGCTTGATACCATAAATGGTAATCAGTGAAGTAATAATAATTGCATAACACCATATACTATTAGTTGATTGAAATGGGAAGTTGTATACCACTTACATAGACCAGTAGTGATTGATAGTCAGATTGAAGTGATCTAGACACTAAAGGGCTTTTTGACTCGTTTGGGGTCAAGCTAATCAGAGGTGAACCCGGTTTGACTGAACGCACAGATTTGAATTATTTCAAACCACCCCCAAACGAACAAAACAACCGTCCCGTGTTTAGAGCACTTCTATCTGGCTAGCAAGCACTACTGGTTTATATGAATAGCACCTCGCTACTCATTTCAATCAGTCAGTAGTATATATCTTAACGCAAACTAGTTACATTTAACCTGTTTTGCATTCTTATGATTTGTTTAACTAAATTCAACTTTTTAACTTACATTCTTGACCTCTCGCTGTATTGTGTTTGTTGAATCAAAGCGGTTGATCTGAAAAAGGCCAATTTCAGGAAATGACTTGTATGGATTAATAGTGCCCAAGGTTTGTAAATGTCGTCTCAGAATAAGTTGGTATGTTGAAGTGTCGTACAAACTACAGACACATTGGTGGCTGTAGAAGCCGTTCACTAACGTGAAACAAGATAAAAGTTGGAATGCAACCCATAGTCTTGAAGGATAAATAAGTTCATTATACGAATGTTTGGTCAGTAGATAGAAAAATTTCATTTTCAAAATATATAATACAACACATCTATATTGTAAATCTGAAATCAAATAACAATAAGCAGTAAAAGCGTACTGACAAAATGGAAAAGATATGTCAGTATTGCAATACAAGGAAAGAAATTATCTTTACATTCTTCGTGGTCATTCTTCTTGTGCTTATCACAACTTACTTTGAGCACTCCGCAACTTCCAACCTGTGAGACTTCATATCACTTGAAGAAACACTGAAAGCCAGGGAGTACTAGACAGCTGTTTCATCCTAGTTTTGAACTCATAGGCAATACGCACCCATCAGGTTCCAGCATAAACCTTTCCGGTCACAAGGCAAGCTCGTAGACCATTCAGCCACTGGGAGCCGACTCAGTGTCCAGTTTATGAATTCTAAATTTGACCAATTCGTGATGCTAGTGAAGTCACTAACCAGTGTCATCGGTGAGTATTTGTCTTCACCCCCCCCCCAACTTGGTGGACTCCGCTGGACATTAATTCTAACTAGAAAGGGCTCCAATCAACTTCATTTTTTAACCAGACACTAACGAACATCAAATTAATTTTGAAGATTCGGTTTGTTGGGATTTGATTTATGTCGAGTGTGACAGCGGACTGATATCAGTTGGAGAAGTATTAAAAACCATGTGGAAGTGCTGGACAGCTGTTTCATTCTAGTTTGGAATTCGTCAGCAGTACACATCTACTAAAGTTCGTCCTTCTTTTTAAACGCTAAAAGGCTTTGAGTTTAACTGCTGATGTCAAGTGGGTGCATTAAGACAATGGTCGAACTGTCATTAGTCTCGCATCATAGCACGAAAGAGACTTAAATTAGAACACAATAACTGTTCAGTACTCCATGAATTTCAGGGGTTCCCTAAAGGGTGTTGGTTTCCCATGTAACTTAAAATCAATGAAAACCCTAGAAACCAACACTTAAAAGTTATAATATTTGCTGTATCCATTCTCTAATTATCACTTCTGTGTATCTTAATCTATTTAATGACATGTAGAACTATTCTAGATATTTGTTTCATAGAACACGTAGTTCAGCGAAGAGGCTCTTTTTGTCGAATTCATTTTCTTTATCTGTACAAAGAGCCTCTTTGCTGAACTACATGTTTTGTTTTCGGTAATGTCTAGATTTATTTT